GGAAATTGAAGCAATGGTAGATTGATGGAAGCATCCAGGCGTGGATCAAGAGATGCTACTGACTTCAGCAAAGGGCAAGAGAGTGTCTCCTCCCCTCAGTTCACAAAAGCTGGCTGGATCGGCCGTTGAGTCTTCATTTGGCACTTCCAATAGAATAGCATGCATCCCATCACCCGGGGGCAGCAGGCTGGCTTAAGAGGGGAGGGCCAGCCATGCAGCCCACGGCCCTCCCCTCCGATGCCTGGCTGCTGCCTCCCAGAATCTGCCACCCGAGTCAACTGCCTCACTCTGCCCACTGGGAGGGCTGTCCCTGCATCAGCCTCTACCGGATCAACTCTTCTGTTGCAACTTGAAATGGTATGAAATATTTTTTCTTGGAAATAACATAGGATAAGATGATGTCCGATCCTTTAATCTCTGTTACATATGATAACAAAGTTCCAAGTTTCTTGCTGTGCAACAATCTTGCTCATGTGTAATTAGTTCTCAGTCTAGTGATAATAGATTTAAATAGTTGGCCATATTTCAGCCCTGCTTGAAGAAAAGACCAATGAAAAATCCTTATTCCCAAGCATTACCTAGTTGTTATCATCAATGCCCAGCCAATTTTCTAAATCGGTGACTGCTTTTATTTAGAATTAGAGATGCCTCGAGGAAGATGTGATATAACAGTTATAAACTAATGAAATCCTGCTGTTATATCCCAGTGTTTACCATGCCAGTGTTTGGAAAATGGTAATACAAACAAGATGCCAACATCAGGAGGAAAAGATGTTGAACAAAGAAGAGCAGGGAGGCACAGAAACAACAATGAAGGAAGGGGAAAGTCGTTGCCAAAACTTTCATAAATCGCTCTTGAGGACAAAAATGAATCACAGTTGAATTCTTTTGGCACAAAATGCCAATAATTTCACTTTAAAATTCCACCCCTGCCTTGAGTCATACAAATGCATGGGGCCAGACCATACAGCAGCCTTCACTAACAATCACAATAACTGTGCATATAAGCGACAGCGTTTTAGTACTCTAACATGAAGAGGGGCATTCCACTTGATAGTACACTGTAAAACTGGATGGCTTTTGGCAGTACTCACATCCCCAAGTCACAGCTAGCCTTGGCCATAATAGAGTTACCACCAAATGTTAGAATTATATTCAAATATTTGCTTGAAGTGTGGAGGTCTGACATCTGTGGAGAAGCATTTGCAGGGAATGATTGAAGGATAACAGGATGCTTCACCCATCCTCTGATCCTTTGCCATTGAACTCTGATCTTCTGCCAAAGCAAGGTAGAACTGGTTCTCCCAAGTTGTCCCCTGCAGGTGTCCCAGCCCCCGAGCACCTAGCAACATGTATGAGCTTAGGTAACAGGCAGGTTCACGTGTAACAGCATCATCCCATCAGGTTGCCCTCGAGTGCCAAACAGCCGCAATGAACCAAACATGTGATGGGATGGGGCCCACCCTACCAGGGCCCCTCTGCCTCTCCTTCCCCCTAGTGGTGTTCCAAGGAAGGAGCGATCCGCCTCTCTTTGACTGCCATGGATTTGGGCTCATCACAACTGCCAGAGTCATTGCTATGCAGCACAGCTTAAGCCTGAATGGCAATGGGAAGGATGGAGAGCTGCTCAGGCACCCTGCCTCCTGTCCCAGGGGACACCTCACCAGCACGAACTGGGGGGATGCCACTGGTGGGGACAGCACCACCCAGATAATTCACGGGTTGTGCCACAGCTGGGCAGTCCATGACCCCAAGATTTCTGGGGCAGGACGCTGAAGGACTGCCCCCAAACCAGGGCAACTGCCAGCCAGACTCTGGCTTGCAGCAGTTCTGTGGCTTTCCCCATGATGGATTGTGTTGTCTAAGTTTGGACTGCAAAACAAGCCATTGTGGTAGGGAGAAACCCCAGAAGAGACTCACAGTGGTAAATCAGAACAACTGGGTTCAGACAACCTGACAAAAAACTGTTGCTAACAATATGCTATTCCAGCAAGAGGAAAGTCAGATTGGACCCTTTGTACAAAGCAGACACATGCAAATACAATGAACAAGCCAGCATTTCTGGGAATTTATACCAAGATCAGAGAAAAGTTGATGATTATGTTTTGAAAGCACAAAAATACCAAGTTTAATTAAGACTTATCCTTCTTGATCAAAACATGACAGCAGGTCTCCCTTTAGGGAGACTGCAATAAAGAAGCAAATGACGTATGAAAGCAATCCTAGTGTGGAAGGTCAGTAGCTAAGGCAAAGACTCTATGAGGAGTGTACACAAGGTACTGAATGTCAGCAATCTTCATGAAGGAGCCAAGGCTAATCCCATTCTCAGGAGTGCCCTCGTTCCATCCATCCCAAGTATCCAAAAGCATTCAACAGAAGCTGACCCAATACAGAAGCTCAGCCCCTCTGGCTTTGTTTTGTTCCTTCTCTAGATCACTACAGGGATATCTCTCAGCATATGGTAGGATGAAGATTCAAAGCACAGAAAGACACAACAGTGCTTCTATCTTTGGACTGTGTGCCATGAACTCTCAAACAAGAGCTCTGAAAATTCAATCTTTGACTACTTCTCATACATACACATACAATGTGTGTGAGCGAGTTTGCTCACAATACATTTCAATTTGATTCCATGGAGGCGTGATGACAGCTTTTCCACTTTAACCAAACTCTTACAGTAAAATTCAAAGAAAAATCTATAGTTTTAAATTGCCACTTCAATTCTGGGGAGTTCTCCAATTGCTGCTAAAATTAAAACAAGCCCTCCTCATTTTATCATGCTTTTCAACCCTAAATCAATTGGCCAAGGAAATTCCCCAAGGTTTTATTTAAAGTACACTATAACTTACAATTTAATGCTTTGAAAATAAGTTTTTAATGAATGATCACAACTAGAATGATGACAACTAAAACCAAAGGCATAGCCAGTAACCACCAACATAAAATACAGTTACTTGCACCTCAACAGCCTTCTGTGAATGGAAGATTGCTCAGTTCAGGGAAAGAATCTCCCTCAGCCCATTCCCATTCCACCGCAGTCTCCTGGACCTCCTCAGATCTGTCACTGAAGATAAGCTGACCTTTCTGAATTGTATAGGATATGGCACAGGGATGCTACAGACTGTCCTTTCGCCTCTGTCAGCAGTAAGACTTCCTTTCAGTTTTGATCAAGTTGCATCATTAGCCACAGTGCAATTTGAAATTGCCCTTTGCTCTTTGCAGCTGGTTGAGTGCCTTCTGACCAGGGAGGTCTTATATTCTGACACTACCTCTTGTTTCATTTTGGATTGTTTCACCACAGGGTTTTCAAGGTAAGACATTCAGAAGGGCTCCACCATTGCCTTCTTCAGCACAGTACTAACAAGACAGAGCTTGAGTATCACTGCCACTGTCTCTGAAAGATCCTCCACCGGTGTCACCTTCAACTACCACTACTGCCCAGTAGCTGTCCGTCAGGAGCTTCTCCATCATCTTTAGAGATACTCACTCTCTTCTCCTGATGTACTGCTGTTTCTGAAGACAAGAGGATGCATCTCCGTCTGCTGTCTCAGCTCTGACCAGGGTGAGTCTGCTAGGAGACCAGCCTGATGAGAGAGCCTGGCCACTGACAGCGTTGCTTCTGACACTTCAAACCCCTCATCACATTAAGATGTGCATCCAAGAGAGGAGGTTGTTCTGCAGTCATGTTTTCAGTCTTCTTAATAATTGACTGCAGTCCTGCTTTTGCGCCTTCTTTCGAGAGTGTCCCCGGCACCTTGCGATCGAGACTCAATGGCTTTGCTGTGCTATAAAGCACAGAACGATCATCTGAAATTCTTTGGCACCAGTGTACATTTGGCATATGATCTCAAGTTCCTCTTCATTTACAGAATCCAGCTTGAACATCAGACATTTCTCACACCAAATAGGTAAACATTCTTTATTGCAACACCTTAAGTATCACTTGGCCTGCATGGAAAATTAATTTAACAGTCCTGTAGTTCTTGCACTCTTTTACACCTCCTTTCTTGGGGATTGGAAGGTATATTGAACAATCATTGTCCTTCATTTTATTCATAAATGATCTGGAATTAGGAACGAGCAGTGAAATGTTAAAGTTGCATGATGACACCAAATGTTTTATGGTGATTAATACCAAAAGGCATTGTAAGGAACTCCAAAAGTATCACTCTAAACTGGGTGAAAGGCCATGAAAATGTGGATAAGTGCAAGGTCTTGCACTTGGGACACAGGAATAGGTGTCACAGGTACAGGATGGGCGGGGGGGTGGCGGCTGGAGAGCAGCACTTGTGAAAGGGATCTCGGGGTACTTGTCCACAGCAGGCTGAACATGAGCTAGCAGGGTGATGCAGAGATTAAGAAGGCTGATGCTCCCCTTTGGATATATAGCCTGAAGTGTGGCTTCCAGATCTATGGAGGTGTTGATATAGCTCTGCCTAACTCTGATGCTCCCACAACTGGAGTACTGCATTCACTAAAAGCCCCATAGATTTGGCCACCTGCTCTGTTTCTACATGATATGGAGGGCTTCAAAGACGACGTGTGCTTTTATATTTCATATTCAATGTGAGGTGATATATGTGAGCATTTCCAAAGGAGTATTTCTTCTAAACTGCCAGCCATTACTGTAAAACCCAAAAACAGCAATATCAGAGTGGGGAAAAAACAGATGGCTAAACAAGGCAAGTTATTTCCTTATAAGAACAATCATCCACAACTCCAGTTCACCTTTATTTATGCTGCTCTCATGCCAAATTCTGGAATGTGGTTTTGAACTTGAGGTTAAAATGCAGTTTTGGAAATACTTCTGAAAAGGAAAATTAGCATAAATCCAGGCATGCACACAGCTTCCTTTGAATTGCAAAAATCACATATGATGCAGACATAAATGAAAAGCGAAAATAATTCAGGAAAAAGGCATAAGAAGGGAGTGAAAGAATGAAAGAGAAAATAAGTTCAGAGCAACAAGATATGTTTTATGACTTTTTTTATTAGTAAGCAGCACATTGCATGGGTACAGTGCTTTAGAAGGAGAATATTCTAGCATTAGAGGATGCCATTGAAACTGTAATTTGCAAAAAAAATATTTTTCACAAATCTTTAAAGTATTCCATTAATTGCATAAATTTTAAACTTCACAACAAAGAAGTTAGCAAAGAAAAGTTTTAACCTTGAATACTTCTATTGATAAATATTTAAAACATCCAGGAAGGGGTTATTTACTGTGTAAGCCAAAGTCTCTAAGGGAGAAGCTATTCAGAAATACAAACTGCCTGCAAACTGATGGCTGATTAATCAAACAAATGAAGGCACAACATATGGTTCAAAGTCCAAGGTACCATAGAGGTTTTCTTTGGTGTAGTTGTTCATGTAAGATGGCTGCCAGATTTTGGTCTAACAAGCCCTTGATAGGAATGATTAACATCTCTGTGTACTTCCAAAGCAGAGACTGACACATATTTCATGTTTGTGGTGCTGGACAACATCTGTAATATACAAGCGCAACATCACAGCGGGTGGACATTGAGATGGAGTACGTGGATCGAGGCAAAACAACTGTTCCTGCCTCTACGGAGCACAAGGATCCAAACACGGAATCTTAGTTCATATCTGGCAGACCAGCAGTTTGGTCATGGAACAATTACATACTGGATTGTTATGCTTGCCAGTGATCATGCAATTTGTACAGAAGTGCTTGCCATCGGATCACTGCAAACACAGGGATGTGGGTCACAACATCCTGTTCATGACCACTCATCCATGTGCATGTTACATCTCAAAAGCAACACAAAGCCAGGGAAAGGAAGTTCTGGCAACAACAAAATTTCTTTTAATTATCCAGAATTTGTCGACCCACGAACTTAACTAGATTTCCACACTTTTAAAAAAAGTCCTTCTACTTTTTTTTTTTTACTGTACTAAAAGGAACTAGAAAATGTTTGCATGCTAGCTTACCTAAACAATGCTAAATATTTGTATAGCTGTACTATGTAGAATCAAAAAATAATCTTGTACTAACTGAATTTTGAGGGGCGGCAACAGCATCACCAGTGTTCCCTTCCAAGCAAGAGGAAAAGAAAACCATGTGATGATATATTTGTCCTCCCAAATCTGCTCTGGAAAGTTCCCAAAACTTCCTGAATAGATTCGGAGGCTAAGGGGGAAGAAGGGAGCACCTGCCTCTCTATTCCACTGACAAATGGGTTAGTGGAATACAACACCGTTGTATGGTAGGGTTATTTTAGAGCACTACCAAGGGTGCTGATTTTGTTTCATGTGTCAGTGCTGTTCATCTGACTCAAAATCCTAGTCCCTAAGAAACATTGCATTTTCTACAGAAGAGTGCAGATCAAAGAATATTCCAAGAAAATTAAGCAGGGAGCAATTGTTCGAGTTTGGAAATGGTCTTTGTTCCAAGCGGATCAAAAGGCCTAACAAGTTGGCACTTTTCTTTACAGAAATGAACAGACTTATATCACCACCACCACCTAAAAATGTTTTATGAATTGGGCTTGTTTTGGGCATAAGCAAGCAAACCATCCCAAATCACCCCACCCAATTAAGGAAAAAAACAAAAGCAGTGAAGGTTGGTGGGGATGGATAGGTGAAAATCACAAGTATCTAAATAAACTGTATGCATTTTAAAAGCAAAAAATGCCAGCTCTATTTGTGTGGAAGCCAGATTTAATAGAAACCACGTTAGGTACTTTTTATGCAGCACAGTCATACAACTGTTTCAGTGCTTTGAATAGTAACAGCGTGTTTATTTAGAAATGATTTATACTGCCTGCAATGGAAATTGCTTCCAAGAAAATGCATTTAGAATGGGATGCTTACATCCATAAGTTTCCTTATTTCAATGTAATGCTCGGTATCTGTTTGCTATCTTTTTCTTCGTTTACTCTTGGACAGGAGTTGACTTCTTCCAGACCTTTGTGATTTTTGCTTTGTCATTTTTATAGCTGGAAATCTGTTACTAAGAAGAAAAAGAGAGAAAAAACACATATTAGAAATGAATGTAGCAATAATAAGTAATAGTTATCTGTAGAGATATGAATTCTATGAACAGAGTCTTCTCAAGGGAAGGCAGATCCTGGATCCAACCCAATATATTCTCTGTGAAGATCAAAGGATATTTTTCCTATCTTCAGCTTATACCATCTACATTATGAATAAAGCTGATTAAAATAAGCCAATATTCACATAGCTAAAGGTCAGAAGGAACCACATAGTTCCTCTTATCTGGCTGCCTCTATATTCGGAAGCTTAGATGTTGGTGACAAAATCAAGCACACTTACACGGATTTAGCAAAAGCCTTCATTAGAGAAGGACAGCCAGTTCTGATATTAAAACTAAGTTGGGGGAGTTAATACCCATGGAGATATTTTGTTCAAGTTCTCTAACACACACATTTTGTATTATAAAGCACTGCAAGACCTCATAAAAGGCACCTATCCTAATGTGGGGTAGAACCACAAAGGGTGAGTTGGTAATGAATATAACATTGTACCCACGCAAGATGCAGTATTGTTTGAGACAGATGATGCTCGACATAATCATGTAGCTGCTACAATAGCCTTAATCCAACAGGGGATTAAGATGGCCAGTAGAGGACTAAATGTTCAAGTGGGGTTGGAACAAGGTAGCCTAAGGGGGTGAAATTATAGGCCCTAATCACACATTGTACCTTTTCAAACATTAGTAATAATATGAATATATATAGAGAGATGGGGGTGGGGAGAGGGCACCACAGCAAAGCTGGATCCACTATGGATGCGGCAAATTTTAGTTAAAATTTATAACAGAGAAAGGTAACAATGAAGACAATGCAGTAAGTATGAAAATACAGCACAGATTTATCCATAATAAAGAATGATGTCATTTTTTGATTGGGTAAGCTCCTTGGTAGACTGTGGAAATTTAGCGAAGTGCCACATGTTATCCTTATTAGCAAACTAGCTAAAAGTGGGCTGGATGGAACAACTATCAGGTGAATCTACAGCAGGCTACAGACTTGGACTCAGTCAGTTCTTTTTAATGGTACTTTCTCAAACTGGAGATAGGTAATAAACTGGGTTACTGCAGAGTTCAGTCCTGGTGAACGAGGTAGTGCAAGGAACACTTTTCAAATTTGCACATGGCACAAAATTTGTGTCTTCCAGTTAATAACCTGGAAGACACAAACAAAAGTCCAAATGATCTTGACAGGTTGGAGCACTGGGCAGAAAATAACAGAATGAAATTTAGCAGGGATAAATGCCAAATTCTGCACCTAGAGAAAAGAAACCAAATATGCAGTTACATGATGCGGTATATATGGTTCAACAATACTTAAAGTGAGAAAGATCTCGGAATTGTTGTAGATCACAAGCTGAGTATGAGCCAATAATTTGATAGAGCTGCAAAAATCAAATGCTATTTTGGGCTGAATAAAAAATATAGCTTCTAAATTATGTTAAGTACTAATTAAGTATTAGTGTACTAGGCTAGGTATCAGGAAAAGCTTCCTCACTGTCAGAGCAATGCAACAGTGGAACCAGCTGCCTGGAGAGGTCATGGCCTCTTCCACACTAGAGGCATTCAATAAGAAACATGGTCATCTCAGTAACAGCAGGGGGTTGGACCTGATGGCCTTCTAGGCCCTTTCCAACTCTACTATTCTATGTCTCTATGAAATTCTGAAAAGTTTCATAAATATATTTCACACAAAATTATCTAAAATTACCAATTACTAATACATGGTAGGTCTATTTAAGTGTTTAGGATTTTACCAGCATGAAATTACATGAAAAAGAAAAAACATAGTTTCGTTCTTTCTTTTACCTCCTAGGACTGACATTGCTATAGTGCTAACAGTAGGTTTATAAACGTGCACACAAGCTCTAGCAGTACTTCATATTACTAATTATTATTTTATACAGTTTTAATATACAAAGTGCCTCATCTTCTTAAGGGCACTTCTATACAGTTAGTCATTAATTACTTCCATTTTATATATAGAAAACTGAAATTCAGAAATGGCAAACAGGGCAGGACTGAAATCTACAACTAGACTTGCTAGCTGAGAAAAATCCCCTTACTTAGAAACAGCTCTTTTCTGGGTGGAGGGCTTGATATACAAAATGAAAAGGCCCTTGAAATGTATGGTGTTATTTTTGAAAACACTTCAGTGAGCTAATGTCTTAAATTTTCAGGGTTAGAAGCCAGTTTACAGGAATCCAGTGTCATGGTTTATGAATCATCTCGGTGCTACTGATGAAGGTTTTACACATACATCTAACAGACCTGTGCCAGACTGGATCAAATCATATTAACACATGAAGTGCTAAGAATGCATAATCCCCGACAGGCTGCCTTCAGTGATGGTTCCTAATTCCTAGCACATGGTCACTTCTTCAACTAAACAACACTCGTTGAGCAGACAACAAAGTGCTGGATAATAAACACAGACATTCCTGCTCTGGAAGTCCAAACATGGGATTTCTACAAGTCAGAATAAAACAAAACAAAACAAACGTGCAGTTTTGTGCTTCATGTTTCCTACCAAATTGCCAAAGGACAGTTTTACAGATTGCATAGATTAAAGAATAGCTTCAATAAACTATAAAGGGAAGCTAAGGTCTTACAAGACTTCAGAGTGTACACCAAGTTTGCCTACATAAAAGCACACAGCGGTAATGCTGAATTGCATAAATTGCTGGCAGATCAATAAAACTCAAAACTTAAGCATATTTCCTGGGCAAGCAGGTTGTGTTAAATATCAAGTGGCCCTGGTTTTGAGCAAATTATATTAGAATCAGAATGAATAGGATGGAAGGCACTTTCTGTCTATCAACTGAGAATAAATGCTGTCCACATAACTTACCTTCAAAAAATGGAATCATGAGCATTATATTAAAGTAAACAGAGGCACATCATTAGAAATGTCTTTTTTCTCACGGTGAAGGTAAGACAGAGGTTGGGTTGATACAACAAGCAGCCCGGTGTGTTACCTTGGTTCACCTTTTCTCTCGCCCTATGATCTTCCTAACAGATGATTAAGTGGTTTCAATGTTTTTTGTACTTTCCATTCTCCTTGTTCAGACCTCCCCCTGTTGGCATGTAACCCATCAGCCTCTGCGCCTGAAATTCTACCCCAAGGCGCATCTGAGATTAAGCATTCTGTATTGTCTGCTTCTTCCTCATTGGTCTCCTCAAAGAGGCTGGATGGCTACAGTACTTCTGGTTACTGCTCTCTTCCAGAAGACTGTGCTGTAGAAACCTTGATCCTGGGCTCAAACAAGAAAAGGCCACACTGATACAGAGAAGCCATAGAACAATCTCCCTTACATTCTCCCTGTGCACTATGTACTATGTACATTCAAAATCTGCTCCAGAGGGCTGGGAAACCCTCTAGAGCAGGTCTTTGGGTGGTGTGAAGGGCTTCCGGAATGAGGCAAGAAAGAAACAGTCTCATTGCTTTAGCAATGCTACTGTGACTATATATATTTATATTCTGCCTTTTTCCTTTCAAGGAACTCAAGGCAATTTACATAATTCTTCTTCTCTTCTCAATCTTGTCCTCACAACAACCACCCTGTAAAGCAGGTTGGGCTGAGAGTCTGTGACCGGCCCAAAGTCACCCCGTGGAAATCAACACCACCCAAAAAATTGCATTTCATATTCTGATTCTTCACAGATCACTGATGATGAATGTTACGTGCACCTCTCAGGATTCTTCTCCACCTGTGTAAACTGACCTTAACACTCCCCCACGAGATGGCTGAGTCAGTCAACAAGAGAAGACACTGTAAATAACCCGCTTCCCTCTGAAATAATAGTAAGGATTGCAAAGATGCTCTAAGTCGCTGATTGCCACCATTTTTCAAGGAGATGCCATTTTGGCTCCAGCACTACTGAGGCCAGTTGGAGACCTTCCCCAAGCCATGAGAAGGCTCTCCCACCTATGAAACAGGGCTACACCGGGGGCCTCAGAGGCCTCTTGTTCCTGTCCCTCCATCATCCAAGCAAGGCCTCATCAGTCCATCCCCAACCCACCAGACAGGCTTGAGCTGGGCCTTTTCCTTTCCATTGAGAGCATGCTCTGCTCTACTTGATGGTTCCCAGCACAAGTCCACCCTGCACTCTCCCTCAAGCATCAACTTTCCCCTCCAATGGGGTGCCTGCGCAGTGTCGCTAGCCATTGCAGCTAGCCAGTTGCACTGCTCCTTGGCTCATCCTGCCCTCCTCCCCACTAATGGGCTGATTGTACCTGCATTCTGCCATAGAATCATAGAACAGTAGAGTTGGAAGGGGCCATGAAGGCCATCAGGTCCAACCCCTTGCTGTTGCAGGTCAGCAATTTACACCATCCCCCTCAGCTGACCATCCTGTTTCTTTTTTGAATGTCTCTACTGTTGAGGAGCCCATGACCTCTCTAGACAGCTGGTTCCACTGTTGTATTGCTCTAAGTGTGGAAACTTTTCCTGATATCTAGTCTGGATCTGGGTTGCCGCAGCTTGAATGGATTATTCCGTATCCTACACTCTGGTATCACTCTGATCTTCTCTTCTAGCCCTACATTGTAGTCCAGAACACAGCAGCTGGTCAAATGTGGCTAGTTAGCCCTACAAAATACCAGCAGATGCATCGGAGACAGAGGCAGGCAGCAGCACCTGAGATGACTGGAAGTCATCAGTGGCCTGCAGGCCTTGTAGTGAAGAACACTGGCTTAGGTCTCAGGTCTAACCAACCAAGGGAAAAAGGTAGCACCACTATGATTCATATTTTCTTGGCCTCATAGCATTGATGGAAAAGGTGAAATGCTTTAGCAATTTAAAAAAGATCCCTGTTTTCAGTAATAGTCGTCTTCTTGGTATCCATCCAAGTTAAGTATGACAAATTTAAAAGAGTCCTGTTTTTAGTAATAGTCATCTTCTTGGTATTCATCCAAGTTAAGTATGACATTAATTAAGCCTTAATTAAAAACTGCCTTT